ATGATTAAACATCCTGATACTGATTATATTGATCCTCTGGATATAGATCTGAAAGAATATCCATCCATTGTTCACATGTTGAGCAGAACCAGACGGTTTGCCATGGTATGTTTATATAAAGAAGTATTTTGAGTCCGAAAATTATCCTGAAGATGCTACATTATACCAGAAGAAGTCGATACGCCGTATGACTCTCAATTTTTTTTTAAGTGGGGAAATCCTTTGTAGGAGGACTCTAGATTTGGGTTTTCTTAGATGTGTCGATGCTGTTGAAGATTCTTAACTTATTGAATATATACATGTTGGAGTTTGTGGCATGCATATGAATGGGATCAATTTGGAAAGAAAGATCCTTCGAGCTGGGCATTTCTGGATGACTATGGAGAATGATTGTTGCAAGTTTATGCAAAAATGTCATAAATGTCAAGTGCATGGCGATTTGATCCGAGTTCCACCTCACGAACTTAATGTTATGAGTTCACCTTGGCCATTTGTAGCTTGGGGTATGGATGTCATCGGTCCGATAGAGCCATCCGCTTCAAATGGACACAGATTCATTTTGATTGATATTGATTATTTCACCAAGTGGGAGGAAGCAGCTTCTTACAAGTCGATAATCAAGAAAGTTGTGGCTGATTTTGTTCTCAACAATCTGATATGCAAGTTTGGAGTACCAGAATCCATCAATACTGATAATGGTGCAAATCTTAATAGTCACTTAATGAGAGATATGTGTGAGCAATACAAGATTACTCACCGAAACTCAACTGTTTATCGCCCTCAAATGAATGGATCCGTGGAAGCCGCCAATAAGAACATCAAGAAGATTCTGAGGAAAATGGATGACAATCACCGACGTTGGCATGAGATTTTGCCATTTGCTTTATTGGGTTATCGAATGACTGCCAGAACGTCGATTGGAGCTACTCTTTACTTGCTAGTGTATGGAAACAGAAGCAGTTATACCGACTGAAGTCTAAATATCGTCTTTGAGAATCATCCAAGAAGCTGAGTTAAGTAATGCTTAATGGGTCAGCAAGCAGATTGATCAACTAACTTTGATTGATAAGAAGAGAATGATTTTCGTTGGTCATGGTCAGTTGTATCGACAGATAATGATTCACGCTTTTCACAAGAGTGTAAGAGCCAAAATTTTCAAAGTTGGTCAGTTGGTCCTTAAGCCTATTATTCTCATCAAGACGAGTACAAGGGAAAATTCGCACCAAATTGGCAAGGTCCTTACATGGTTCTTAAAGTATTATCTAGAGGTGCTTCGGTCCTATCGGAGATAGATGGCACCGCATGGCCTAAACTTATCAACTTAGACGCTGTCAAGAGATACTACTTATGAAGCTTCGGTTTGCATTTTCGTTATTTACTTGTATTTATTCTGTTTGCTCGTATTTATTTTGCTTAAATTTTAATCCCTTTGAAATGAACTACGTATGACCTGAATTCTCAAGAATGAGATACGTAAATGTCCTATGTCGGCCTCGGTCACCATATTTATCCCCTTTAATTATTTCATTGTATTTGAACTATGTTCGACCTGAATTCTCAAGAATGAGATACGTAGACGGACTGTGTCGGCCTCGGTCGGTTTCCTTGTAAATTTCTCTTTTGTTAACCCTTAAGGGAGAACTATGTTTGACCTGATTCCTACCTCAACGGGATATGTAGGCACCACAAGGGTTCGGTCATATCTTTCGTAAGATTTCTATTCCTCTTTACAATAGAAACTGGGAAAGAATTTTGTAGAGGGACTCAAAAATTCTCGAGAAGAAGATTCTTCCTCAGCAAGTCAAGACTGAAGATATTTTGAGATTCGCAACTGGGAAAAAAATTTCGAGAATATCTCAAAAATTCCGCGATCTACTCAGTTACAGTGTAAATATAAGCAAGACAGTTAACTGGGACAGAAATTTTGAGGATGGCCTCAAAATTTCAGCATGGGCTTATCTACAAGTCCGAAGTGACTCTAAAAACTCCCCAGCAAATATTCAGATAAACCTCCAAGCATCAGACTCAAAGAATTTTGAGCCTGATATGACATGACTTGGCAGTGACCCTTTTCAAATACTATTTCTTGAAAATTTATTTGTCTTAAATTTTCCCTTTTACGTTTCATTTGTTTTGGCATAAAATATTTTGTCTCATCTAGCAAGAGTCGGGAGATCGGAAAATCAATCACAGATAGCAGGACAAGGAGCAAATTACCCAAGAGATCAACACATATCAGTTTGTTTTTAAAACTAATAATTTTTCTGTGGACGCAAGTTTGTAGCTTTGTTTTGAAATCAGCAAATTCTTCTGATAGATGAATATGGAGAAGTCAAAGGAGGAGAAAACTATCCCAAAATCAATAATTTTCCTAGAAGTAGAAATCATTTTAAATCACTTATGTCGGAGACTTGGGAATATGAATTATTTATTTCAATCAATTTTCAACAACATGAAATTTATAAAGAACGTCCAGCTAGATTCGAAGGTGAATCAAGCGAAAGTCTTAAGGAAGAGTTTACGGTTTCTTTAAAGGATGTCATTTGCATCATAATGTCGGATATGATATTATGCATTGCCCGGAGGGATCAGATATTTTATTATTGATCAGGACGATATACTATTTGAAAGTCGTTTTACCGTTATCATCTTTGGAGACGATACTGATTATCCAAAAAGCACCCAGAAGATCACTATGTTGCTCGATTGAAGAAATATCTTTATTTAGTACCAAGGATGACATCAAGAGTTAATATATGTGCATCGCAAGAAGGTATTCATGCCCTGCGAAAGATCATGCATCGCGAGTCAATATTCATGCATCACGAAATATCATGCATCGCGAGTCAATATTCATGCATCGCGGAAGATCATGCATCGTGAGTCAATATCCATGCATTGCAAGTCAATATTCATGCATCACAGAAGATCATGCATCGTGATTTAATATCCAAGCATCGCGAGAATATTCCATACCTTACAGAAATTTAGGCATCGCGAGAAGATTTCATACCTCGCAGAAATTTATGCATCGCGAGAAATTTTTATACCTCGCAGAAATTTATGCATCGCGAGAAGACTCCATGCCTCGTTGAAATTTATGAATCGCGAGAAGATTCCGTACCTCGCAAAAATTTGTGCATCGTGAGAAGATTTCATACCTTGCAGAAATTTATGCATCGCGAGAAGATTTCATACCTCACAGAAATTTATGGGTCACGAGAAGATTCCATGCCTCGTTGAAATTTATGCAACGCGGGAGGATTTCATGCCTCGCAGAAAGTTATGCATCATGAGAAGATCTCATACCTCATAGAAATTTACGCATCACAAGAATATAGTCATGCCACGCAAGAAGTCATGTACTGCCAGAAAAGGAATACGTGCATCCCAAGAGAAATATTTATCCATTGACATCAACTGGCTTCTTTTATTTTGACAAAAGTAAATATCAAGAGGAGCATCGAAGACGACATCAAGAGAAATATCAGCACACTGCATCAACTTTAATTTATGTTGACATCACATGAAGAGTACATTGAATATTATACTGCAAACACAAGACATAAGCTTTATTTGCTTTACGTTAAACTGATCGAGTTGACGTCAAATGAAGAAGGATAACAAATAAGTGTCAAAACGGTAAAAGACATTGTCTCCCATTTGAATTGAATTTTTATGCTGACGAGTTTTATCTCAATATTTGTCGAGAGCATCCGAAAGGATGAATTCTCCAGAACCACAGGTGCGGACGACATCAAAAAAGGATAAAACACAACGAGAAACTTTTTCTTAGCAGCGAACCAGGACATAGTCCAAAGAGGAGTGTCAAACTTTTAGGACGCGAGCAGAGGAGCGACTTCCACCACAATCAAACCACACCCCTATAAGAAGGCATGTGGGTTTTTATTTGGCTTTTGTCAGTTTCGGTTTTGCATCCGAAATTTTGCTCTGGCGGAAGCAAGTTTCAAATCTGAGTGACAGTGCATCAATTTTTGGAAATTATGTCCATGTAAGTTAATAATTATGGGTGTGAAGTGCACCACATTCATGACTAAGAGGTTACAATCCTTTTTTTCATACTCGACTTAATTTGTCACTCGTCCAGAACCAAAGGTTATCTAACATAATAGATTTCCTTTTCAATTGATCGAGTCGAGCTACAAATAGCATGATTCCTGAAGATACAAAGATATGCAGGCGAGCTCAATGTGGAAAACTCGGTTGTATTTCAGCATTCGCTGTTAAATCTTATTCTCGGGCATGTCGGGCCCTTCATAATTCAGTGTCGAGATGATTTTTGAATTTTTTTTAAATCATGCGATAAATCAAGAGTACCGAACTACAAGTGGCCTGAATTCTCATATAGCATGAGATATGTAGGAAATCTGTTTTAGGATTCGTCCATAATTCCTAAATTCGTACGAAATCCCTTTCCTAAAGATGAGTATGTGGTCGGTCAAAATTGATTTGGTCAACTTCATTTTCCTCGAATTTCTTGCGTCAATCCAAGTAAAATGAGGGACAGTTGTTGACACCCAATTTTGGAACTCCACTGTATAAACTAATTATCGAGTTTTTCAAATTTCAAATGATTTAGAACAATTAGGTTCTCTTGAATTCCAAAATATTGTTTTCAAGGTACTTGAAACTAATCATATCATTTTACATTTTTTAGAAAATATGTAGGTTTTATATAATTTTATATACATAAAATTAATATATTTCATGAATATTCGAAAATCTTCTTTAAAAAAATTGTTTTTGCTAAATAATTTTACTAATTAGTTTAGTTATATATTGGTTTGTTAGTTTTAGTTACCTAATTCATATTTGAATTGATTATTTTATTTTGTTAAGATTAAAAAGCTCATTAAGTGATTTTACTTATTCATCTTATTTAATTATTGGTCGAATTCGCTAATTTAATCCATTCAATTTTTAAAAAAAATTATTTTGATTGGCTAAAATTGAAGCCTTTGGCCATCTTTTGTAATTGCAATTTTATCTACATTTATCCAACTTCCACAACCCCATTTTCTTCCAATGTTACGACCCAGATTTGGGCCCTTTTTCTATTTTTCTTCATTAACCCACCCCAACTTATACCTTTACCAGGCTCACTCCTCTTAATTCCCATTCCCAGTAATTCCTCTCATCTCAGCAACCAAACCGACTCACTTCCCTTTTATCCCGCTCAGCGAGCAATGCAAAATTGCAATGTGCGTCAGACATGTGAACTCCGCCACTCGACCAACGCAACCTGTCGTCTTGACGCGCGCCCCACGAAAAGCTGCAGTAAGGAACGCGCAACGATACCAACGGCATCATCATCTCTTTCGCCATTAATTCGCGCAACAGGGGCTTCCTGATTTCTCTAGCCTTGCAGAATCATTCTTGGGTGTCGGAGATGTCGCCATGTCTACCCAAAGGACGATTGGATCGATTGAAATTGTCCATTTCCCATTTCCATTTTTGGAACGATTTTAGAGCTTCAGAAAAAGCTTGTCTTCCCAAAGTGGTGAAAGAAATGTTTGAATTTCAAATTCGGACTACTGTTCTGTCCAAGATTCTCACCCATTTTCCCCCTCTTTTTTGTTAGGCAAAACCATAGCCCTTGGCTATATATGATTGCTTCGGTTCTTTTGGGGGAGGGAGATATTTTTTAGCTGTCGTTAGAGAGAAAATCTACAGTAAGAATTACTAGTTATATTATTACAAATAAACACTTGAGGAATAGGTCTTAAAAATCACAGAGAGTAAGAGTTCAGACTCCGGCTCGTTTCTTCACCCACGAGAGTTTATTGGAGTCGCGACTTGGTGGTGGAGGGATCATCCTCATAGCTAGCTCGTTCGTCCATCCGATTTGCTTCCCTCGAAAAAGGTAAAGTTCTCTCGACCTCCATTTGGATTTTTCTTAATCTTATTTTTATTTATTTTTGTTTTTTTTTGGTTGAGGTTTTGTTTGAGAATTTGAAGCTTTCTGTTGGCTCTTCCTCTCTTTCTCGCGGGTGCATACGGTGTTTTTATTCTTTGTCCTAGTTCACTGCTGGCACCAAACTATCGCTCGATTCAATGGCGTAGTTGATGTTCTCTCTCTCATTAGTTGTTGATGATGAAGTTGAGTCTCATTGTTAATGGTTCATTTTACTTTTATTTTTGAGGAAGTTAGATGAACATTTGACTTGCTTAGCTCGAAATACTCTGATGGTTGGAAAATACAAATCTAATAGCTTATCTCTTTATCATTTAATCTTTTATTCGGGTTCGATGTCAGAATTAAATCTTTGTGAGAGGAAGAATGCATTCTGTCGTCCGCTGCTCATAGTAGTATTTCTGTTGGTTCATATCTTCCTTTAAGGCGTGATTATTTAAGAATGGACGAGTTGATAGTTGCCTTCGTTTTGTCCTCTATGCCCCGTTTATTACCTTACTCTTTGATGAAGTCTCAACTTTTAAAGGGGAAATTCAATTATGTTTGAAAACAACCATTATTGTTTGTATTTAAGCATGCTTTAGCATACAATGTATACCCCAAGTATGATTTAGCATATTTAGTTGCCTTTTGGGTGACTAGTGGAGGATTTCTCTTACTCCGTATATTTTATTCAGTTATATTGTTATGTACATCGCTGCGAATTGTGTAAAGATTATTCATGACTCACCTTTAAGTATGGATATTAACCGTCAGCATTTTTTTGTATGGGGTTACTTGCCTTGAGTCCATGAAACTCTTCCTTTGCATTCCATCGACTCCTTTCATCGAGTCCGCCATCATGATAATCAGGAAGCAGATTTACAGGTTGAAAATCAGAAAATCCGAACGAAAAAATAATTTTCAAGTTTTGGAAATGTGAAAACAAGCTGAAAATATGGATTGTATACATCCATATACAATGATATACGCAATGAAACAGCAATATACTGGTTCAAAGGGTGTGGAAACTCAAGGAAAAGTACATGACATGAGGGTAAACAAAATGCAGGCTTGAAAGGTTCAATAATGTGTCATAAACGTCATGTATACCATCGTATAAGTAATCTGTATACGAAGATTTCTTTGAAGGAAATTTGCCCAAAGGCCCTGAAAATTGCAGCAGCAGAATTTGGGCCTAGGGCCCAAATTTGATATTTCCTTCCTTTCTTATTTATTTATTATGATGTTGGACTAACGTATTATTTGATTTTTTGTTTTTAATTGATTATATCCCTAATATATCCATTTCTCTTTATAAATATTCAAAAAAGAATACAAATATTTATTTTATAAAAATTTATTACTTAGGTTTTATTTTAATATTGGTCTTGTTAATACAGTATGAATTATTTTCACTTTAAGTAATTCCCATATTTTATTTTCTCGTTAATATAATATATTAATTAAATTGAGCAAACGAAAAAAAAATTCTTTTACTTTAATTAAAAATTTGAAAAGTTGTTTGAAAGTCATTTTAGTCAAATCGTCGGTCAACCGCGAGCTAGCGGGCATTCCGAGGGCCTAACACCTTCTCGGAATGCACATTTGAACTTTGAATCCTTTTTCAACTGATTTTATCTGTTTAATCTTTTGAAAATAATTGTAAGCTTTCTTGATTTTTGCTAAAAATCAAGTGACGACTTTGTTAATTTGGAAAGTCGACTTTCTTAAATCATAAGATTAATTGATTTTTCAAAACTTAATCATTTTTTATTTATGTATATTTTTTTAGATAAAACATGTTAGTTTTTCAGCAGATCAAAGTATATTCACTATCCTATAACACGAAATTGCATTTGTTTCAAAAAAATAACCGTTAAATTATTGTTCAATATCGAGTTCATGACAAGGAGAGTTTTCAACTTCCCCCATCCATTTCTTATCAATTTACCCATGTTTTCGTGGAATCCTTACACCCAGGATGTTGTAGAAATGTTTGGGACGTAAGGGAAGTAACTATGCTACGATTTTCTATAACATTAGCAACTTAGTTCAATTTTAAAAAAGAAAATCCAAAAATTGTCGATTTTATCACTTGGTAGCATAATATCATGTTTAACGAATCAAGGAAGTAATAAGAATGAAAATCAGGAAACATACCTTAATTCTGACATTCAGGGGAGAGTGAATTGAGAGAGTAAGGGAGTTTTTGAGGGAGTGTAAGGGGAAATGGGAGTTTTCCCCCTTTCCCCTACTTATTGTTGCACGATCTCCCGCTATAGAGGCAGAGCTGCCGCTCTAGTGGGATGACCTTGAGGAAAACATGCACTTAATTCGACCTTCGTGTATTACTTGTTAAAACTACCTCTAACACGGAAGCCCAGTACGCTTTTCGTATAATGTATGTTAACCCCTCCGTTTTAGCGTGTATTTTCCGTTCTATGGTTCCAAATTTTTTTGAGGTTGCAAACTTTTATCGTTCCGTGTAAGAGTTGTTTCGCTAGTAGGAGTGTTCTAAAGCGAGAGCGTGCGATGACCGAACCCTAGCATTCGGGAATGAACGAGGGGTAAATTGGTATCTATTATAATGACCCAAACTATTGTTATTTGAGAAGGGAAAAAATCTGTGAAAACCCTGGACCCTGTCACGCTATAGCTGCATAGATGCCGTTTGCGAGATAGCGCTGCAACATGACAAGTTGTAAAATACCCTAGAAACCTCAAAAAAATTATTCTAAGCTTGGAAAAAAAGAGGAAGAATGAGCTTTCAAGCATGAGGATGGACGAATCTTGTAAAATCTTGACCAAATTCACTGTAGAAAATCCAAAAAAGCTGGAAATGAAATAAAAACTCCACGCAGTTGCTTTGTGCCCAAGTATGTTAGGTTTTATGCATTGAGTAGTTGTAAATTTTTGCTTACCTTGTAGTATACCAAATCAATCATAGGAGATATGCATAGGCCTTCGTGCACCGAGTAAATTTTGTGGAAAATTTCTATAATCCAACGTATTTGGGGTTAGTGCTTGATGCAGAGAATTAATGATTGGTCTAGTGTTTTTTGTTGTTTCCTTGAGTATAATTCCTTCATTTAGCAAGAGTATTCGATAGAAGGGAATACATTTCGATCTATGCTAGGTTTGACCCATCAAATTAACACGTTGATGAATGTTAGTAATTTAGGTTTAAAACCTTAATGACGAATCAGAACGAAGAACTAAGGCTGAACTTGGTCTCTTGTATGATAACAATTGAGGGAAATTTATAGGTAACTGTAGGTATTTCATGATTGTGTGATGTATGCATGTTCTTACTTCATTGTGATAGTTGTATGTATATGAACGTTGCATTGTTAAACACACTCGTTGTAACTGAGATAGATGAATGATGTAGCCATGAAATCATGATGTAAACATATGATCTTAATGATGTAATTATGATTATGATTGTGGTGTGTGACTTGGATCGGGTTGTCACATTTCGGCAAGCTAACTTGGATCAGTTGCCACATTTTGACATAACTTAAGATCGGGTTTCCATGTTCTTGCATAATATTTGGATCAAATTTTCACATTGCGGCACAACTTGGGATCAAATTTCCATGTTTTGGCAAGCTAACAGTTTGAGTTTGGGTTCCGTGAGAGGACCAACTACTTATGATAAGGGTGTAGGGTAAAGCATGTTATAGTTTGGTATTGTGATGTGTATATAATTGTGATTGTTATGTTTATATCTAATGATGAAAGCTTGTAGGTGGGACCATGTGTCTATATGTGAAGATGGGGTGATGTGTAGAGAAAAATGAGGTGTACTTGTCAAAAAGAGTGGTTTGTCGAGGCATTTGTCTGGATAAGTACCTAAAGAGAAACAAAATGGATTGGGGTAGATAAGGTGACAATAATATAAGAGTGTGACAGGATCGATTGGTAGGAAGGGATGTTAGCGGAATGTGGGATTATACAATGAAGTTAACATGTTTAGGCTATGATTTAATAAAGCCAAAAGTGTTAAGCTTCGGGGAGAAAATGGGTAGTGGCTAGAGTATTTGTGTAAGTTGAAGGTGTTTTAAGAAAGGGAAAGGGTGGACAAACGAGTGGTTCTTGTATGACCCCATTATTCTTTTCTTATATTATGAGGTGGGTGTCGGGTTGATCGATGATGTCTATCAGTACGTGTAGGCTTATTAATACCACTCTTGCTTTGTCATTTTGACATAGTCTAAATGCAGGATTGGTGTTGTTTCAATTAGGTGAAGACAAAGAAATCCTCCAGCAGCTTCGACTTTTCTTTCCACATGGTGGGAACTGTGTTCTTTTATTATTTATTTTCCAATTGTTACTCTTAGTATCTCCTGTACCTGTCAGACTAGATTCTTGGGGTTGTTAAATTATTTTACAAGTTTAACAAGGAGTGTACTTAAAAAGTTTTATTTATTAAATCTCCTTAACTTTGTTTTCCGTCATCTTTAATTTCCCGCATCTTTTTCTCTACTAGGATATGAGGATTCTCCTGCTTAGGTGTTAGAGTGGGTTCCCGTACGACTTGAAGGGTTGGGTCGTGACAAATTCCTTCCTCATTAGCCACCAAAATCTTATATTATTTTTTTTCAAGTTCAACACGCTACCACATTAATACAATATATAAATGCCAAAAACACACTTGAAATATATCATTTTTTAAGTTTCATACCTAAACTATTGAGAGTGAGTTTCATACCTAAACTATCACTATTCAGTTTGAGAAACACACCTCTCTCTTTTATATCACTCTCATTATGGTATGTGTAATGCATACTCTCTTTTATTTTAAAAAAATTGTAACATCACACTCCAGATGGGAAAAAGAAATTCAACTTTGACAAAAATTAAATAAATTATTAGTGTAAAAATAATATTTCTTTTATAAAATAAAATGTAAATATTTTTCTTACCCACTCCATCACTTCCTCCCCGCACCCCGCATCCATTTTCTTTTATATAAGTATTTAATTTATTTTACTTTCACCCCCCTCCAAAATACTAATTTAGATATTATTTTATTTTAAAAAAAATAATTCTACCCACCCCACCTAATGCTCCTCTCATTTTTTTTCTCATTTGTGTTAGATATATGCAATCAAAAATATATCTACATGCCACCACAATACTTTTTTTAGTTTTCATTTATTTTTTTACATTCGATACACTAGTAGATTTTTTTCTATGAAAATGTAAAAAGAAATTTTAAGAGCGAAGGGTTAAAAAGGATGAGCAAAAATTTTTATTTTTTTTTCGGGGGGGGGGGGGGGAGGGGAGGGAGGGGATACGTGGAGGAGGTGGTGGAGTACGGTAAGAAAAATAATAGTAATATTTTTTATGCATAGTAATACTTTAATCTCTATATTTTAATTAATATTAACAGTTTACTATTTAATTTTTATCAAGGCGTAATATTTTATTTATGTGGAATGTCATATGTCAAGTTTCTTTCAAATAAAAGCGAGAGTACATTACACACACCACTGAGGTGTGTTTCTATAACTAATTAGTGATAGTTTAGGTATGAAAATCACACTCTCGATAGTTTAGGGATGAAACTAAAAAAATGAAATAGTTTAGATGTGCCGTTGATATTTATCTCTTGATACAACTCAATTCTCTACTGTCTCTTTCCAAACCCAACATAATAATAATAATAAAATTATTATTATTATTATTACTATTATTATTATAATTATTATTATTATAATAATTATTATTATTATTATTATTAAAATAATAATCATTATTATTATCATTATTATTATTATTATTATTATTATTATAATTATTATTATTAGGGAAAATTGTATAAAATAGCAAACTAATAACCTAAATTAAATTGAATAGCTAGGGTTTGATTTAATTGTGCTCCATAGCAAACATTGACAAAAATTTGCCAGGCGTCTCTCTCCCAGAAGTCTCGCTCGCCGTTCTCCCATTCTCGCCTCTCTCGCTTTATACACAGAAGTGTATAATTTCTGTTTCTGTTTTGTATAAAGCGAGAGAAAATTGTATATACACATGCAAAAATGTATATCTTCGTGTTATACACTTAATTATATAATTTACAAACATTTTACTTCAAATATTGCAGAGAAAAAGGCCAAAGAATTATACAATTCTGAATTATACAATTACAGTGAAATACAATTTTTTCTAGCTTTATACAACAGAAGTGTATATATATTGTGTTTCTGTTT